TCTAGCCAGACTCATCAAAAAAAAAACAAAACAAAAACAAAAACAAGAAGAGGACTCAAATAGAAACAAAAGAGGAGAAATAACTGACCCCACAGAAATACAAAGGATTATAAGAGAATATTATGCAAATTTATCCCAACAAACTGGACAACTAGAAGAGATAGATAAATTCCTAGAAACTATATAACCTACCAAAACTGAAACAGAAAGAAATGCAAGATTTGAGCAGATTGATTACCAGCAGTGAAATTAAATAGTAATTTAAAAACTCCCAACAAATAAAAGTCCAGATGGTTTCACAGGTGAATTCTACCATATATTTAAAGAAGAGTTAATACTATTCTTGTCAAACTTTTCTTAAAAATAGAAGAGGAAGGAAAACTTCCAAATGCATTCTAATAGGCCAGCATTACCCTGATTCCAAAACCAGATAAAGACACACTACAAAAAATAACTACAAGCCAATATCTCTGATGAACATACATGCAAAAATCCTCAACAAAATAATAGCAAACCAAATCTAACAATAGATTCAAAAAGTCATTTACCATGATCAAGTGGGATTTATTTCTGGCACGCAAGAGTGGTTCATTGTTTGCAAATCAGTCAGTGTGATACATCACATTATTAAGAGAAAGGATAAAAACCATATGAACATTTCAATAGATGCAGAAAAAGCATTTGACAGAGTAAATATCCATTCATGATAAATGTGCTCAACAAAGTTGGTTTTTAGAGGAAACATACCTCAACATCATAAAGGCCTTATGTGGAAAGACAGCTGAGAGCTTTTCCCCTAAGGTCAGGAACAGTGCAGTGATGTCCACTCTCACCACTTTTATTTAACATAGTACTGGAAGTCCCAGCCACAGCAATCAGACAAAAAGAAGGAGAAGGGGAAGGGGAAGAAGAAGAAATAAAAGGCATTCAAATTGGTAGGGAAGAAGTAAAACTTTCACTATTTGCAGTTGGGAGAATCTATATATACATAGAAAGTATGCCTAGGAAGTGAGTCGTATACGCTGCCTCCCCGACATCTCCCAGCCTCCTGAGTCACATGATCCTTGTCCGTGTGAGTTCCAGCCCCGTGCCTGTAGGCTCTGGTTTACGGGCCCAGGAGCCTGGAGCCCCTTCCAGATTCTGTGCCCTCCCTCTCTCTCTGCCTCCTGTCTATGCTCTGGGAGTTCATTCTCTCTGTCCCAAAATAAAGGTAAAAAAAAAAAGAGAAAAAAGAGAAAATAAAGATCTCCCTGAAAACTATTTACTAGAACTAATAAATGAATTCATTCACATGCCTACAGGAGAACTCAAAGTACAGGTAGAAATCTGTTGAATTTCTAAAAGCAGCAGAAAGAAAAATTTGGAAGAAAAAATGATCCCTCAACCTGGGTGACTCAATGGTTTGAACGCTTGAAGTTTTGGGTTGAAAGTATGATCTCAAGTAGTCCCGTGTGAGAGAGTTCTGTGGCTCAAAGCTGCCCGGCTTTCCCTGTGTTGTCATCAGCTCAGAGCCTGAGCCAGTTTCCAGACTTCTCTGTGTCTCCCTCTCTGCCCTCCCCCACTACACACCTGCCCCCCTCATTTCAAAATAATAAAATGTTTAAAAATTAAAAAAATAATCCCATTTACTATTGTAGCAAAAATAATGAAATACCTAGGAATAAACTTAAAGAGGTGAAAGACCTGTACTCAGAAAACTATAAAACATTAATGAAAGGAACTGAAGATAACATAAAGAAATGGGAAGACATCCATACTCATGTATTGGAACAACAAATATTGTCAAAATGTCTGTACTCTCCAAACAATCTATAGATTTGATGCAATCCCTATCAAAATACCAACAGCATTTTTCACAGAACTAGAACAAGCAATCCTAAAATTTGTATGGAACCACAGAAGACCCTGAATAGCCAAAGCATTCTTGAAAAGCAAAAGTGGCAGTATCAGAATTCCAGACTTCAAGTTATATTACAAAGCTGTAGCAATCAAAACAGTTTGTACTAGCACAAACATAGACATGTAATCAATAGAACAGAATAGGAAGCCCAGAAGTAAATCCACAATGACATGGTCAATTGATCTTTGACAAAGGAGGCAAGAATATGCTATGGGAAAAAGACAGTCTCTTCAACAAATGGTGTTGGGAAAACTGGACAGCAACATGAAACCGGATCACTTTCTTTCACCATACACAAAGTCAAAATGGAATAAAGATCTAAATGTGAGCCCTGAAACCATAAAAATCCTAGAAGAGAGCACAGGCAGTAATTTCTCTGATATTGGCCATAACAACATCTTTCTAGATGATTCTCCTGAGGCAAGGGAAACAGAAGCAAAAATAAACTATTGGGACTGCCTCAAAATAAAAATTTTCGACACAGCAAAGGAAACAACCAAAAAAACTAAAAGACAACCTACTGAATGGGAGAATATATTTGCCAATAACATATCTGATAAAGGGTTAGTATCCAAAATATATAAAGAACGTACACAACTCAATACCCAAAAAACAAATAGTCCAATTAAAACATGAGAAGACATGAACAGACATTTCTCCAAAGAAGATATACAGATGGACAACAGACACATGAATAAGTGTTCAACATCACTCATCATCAGGGAAATGGAAATCTAAACCACAATGAGATATCACCTCACATCTATTGGAATGACTAAAATCAAAAACACAAGAAATAACAAGTGTTGGTGAGGATGTAGAGAAATAGGAACCCTTATGCACTGTTGGTGGGAATGCAAACTGGTGCAGACACTGTGGAAGGTAGTATGGAGGTTCCTTGAAAAATTATAAATAGAACTACTCTATGATCCAGTAATCACACTACTGGATATTTACCAAAGGATACAAAAACATTAATTCCAAGGAATACATGCACCCCTATGTTTATTGCAACATTATTTATAATAGCCAAATTATAGAAGGAACCTAAGTATCCATTGATACATGAATAGATAAAGAAGAAGTGGTATTTATACACAGTAGAATATTATTCAGCCATAAAAAGAATGGAATCTTGCCATTTGCAACAACATGACAGATCTAGTGGGTTTAACACTAAGTGAAATAAGTTAGAGAAAGACAAATATTATATGATTTCACTCATATGTGGAATTCAAGAAACAAACAAGGGAAAA